GCCGAGTGATGAATTGTAAAATAAAATTGGCCCCCGGCCAAGGTTGAACGCTCAGAAATTCCGTTTACGTTCCTATTGTAAGACGGTATTCTAGCACGAATCCTTTCGTGCAGCTTTTCGGCTTTCAGTACAGTCCTGTCGTACTTCACGGTCCTATTGTGCGCCGATAGTGAGTGAGTTGAATAACCTATGACCTACGGCGTAAACCGGACTTCATAACCTGTTAAAAAGAAGCACCCTACTGTGTAATTATCACCGACAGAGTACTAATGTGCAAGGGAAGCAAGAAGGTAGGTTCAATAGGGTTTTAGATTAACTGGCTCTAGAATCTAACGGGAGTAAGTCTTCTATTAGTACCACACTCAATCTCGCTTCCACGCGACCAACATGGCTAGCCTCATACATCAAGAGTGTGTTATCCCTGCTACGCACTGACACATTTACAATAAAATGCTGTAATTAAAGAATAAAAAAGAGAAAACCGAAGGAGGTCTCCGTCGGAGAAAACGAAACCTAGATGAACTGATTAGGTGCTGGGAATGGGCATTATCGGGAATGAACGAAAGGGATTCATTAGAGATTAGAAAATTTTCAAGGGCTCGGGCGCGTGGTGGATAAGTCTGAGGAGAAATTTGCACGGTAGTATTTCGAAATCGGGCTCTCTGGACGGTTGGACTTGACATGTTCAACACATAGGTGAAGACTGAAGCGGTCCAGTCGTTCAGGGATGACAAGGTTCATGTACTTATTTTTTTGTTTTTTTTTTGCATCAGATTTTAATTGCGTGTGCAGCTATCTAGCTATGACACAATATCATAGAAAGGTACAGAATAGATGATTCAACGTAGAGGAAGAGCACTCATGTCTCAGATTTCATTTGCAAGTACCACTGCAAAGTTATGGTGGCTTTTTCTTCACCCCAAGTCAACCCTCATCCGTGAATACCCACCCAGGGGAACGTCTCAAAAACCATGAGTTATCCAGACATGCCTCCATCATCTTTCAACTTTCTCCGCGCGAAATATGGTCTGAGATGTCTCCTTCCCAAGTGGAGTAGGTGCCCAGGCTATTCAAACTATACCGTTAAACACCATCAGGAAGCAGACTATAGCACCTTCCATCGTTGGCTTGTATTTACTGTGTCAGCTGCACTCTCGCAAGCGAAGTCTTGGCGCGCACAAAGCTCAATTCGTAAAACTCTTGCCAAAATTCGGAATCTCATGCCCTTCGAAGTTACATCCCTCTTCTGCATCATCTTGTGAACTTGTCCTGATCCCTCTCACGTCCATCCCAAAGAGCTATCTCCCAGATTTGTGCTCCACGCTTTGCTTCCTCCGTCGGGTATAAATATCGGCGTGGGCGTGTATTTGGTGACCAGCTGAGGCCAGAGAAGGTCGAAGAGTGGTGTGGTCATTGGAATGAGGATGTACTTGGTCGAACTTGAAGACTCGATGAGACGAAGATAGAAGTCAAACTCGTTGGGAGCGAAATAACGACGTGGATGAGTAATTTGGATTCTTGCCTCGTGGGCCATCTTCTTTGATATTGCGAAATTTGACTGAACTTGGCTCTGGGAGAATATTTCACTCCCAGGTTCGTAGAGGACACCGCGTACAGGTGTTCAGTCTTGCCCTCCTTCATGTACTTAATAGTAATTAATCTGATCCATCCCAGCTCTACTAGTGCTTAAGCCCTCACGAGTGTGTTTTAATTATGAGGTTATACAGGGAGGATGTGTGGTAGAACAGTATGCGTAAGTGAATGTGGAATGAATATTCTTGTTATGGCGTGCGCTAAAAATACTGGAGATAGCCCTTTGCAGAAGGCAATGTATTAATGACTTTAAGGGTTATAGACACCAACGAAGGATATTCAAGGGCCGGTAAAATGCAGATAGTCGAGAGAAAATAAGTCAAGAAGTCGAGTTGCGGAGCAAGCGGAATAGTCTAATAACTTAAGATCCAAAGAAGTACGAAGAAAGTTACGAATAGTGAAAGACTGAGAATAAGGTAATAATATTATATAAATGCTAGGTTGCGAGATTAAAGATCAAGGAACTGGAGAGCTAAAATGTGGCAGCTCCAGCTTCCTTAAGTTTAACTCGAGACAGAATTAGAACTCAACTAAGACTATAGCAGATGCAATTATTACGCCAGCCCCTCCATCTCCGACTGTCAGAGTTTTCACACAAACCTTCTTATTGAACCTTTTCTGAAGGAGCTTCTCCTTGAAACTTCTTCAAGGATGCCTAGTCACAACAATTCTGATGGATGAGCTAATGTACTTAGTCTCTCTGAGGATGTATAGATATCTAAAGATGAACTCAGTCTACAGAAAGAGTAATTGCACCTGATTAGATATATGTCTAATTTCTCTACCACTGTTCCCCTAGGGTGTCTATTGTTGTCATGTTTTGCGTACCGACATTATTTGGTCACTTAGCTTCTACTTTATGGCATGGCTCGCATTTAATTCATGTTCTGATGTCCGCTTGCAAGAATATTGCCAGGCAATCTGATTACTTAATCTAGTACAGTGCCTCTGGGTTGGGAAAGGTAAACCTTCATACTGGGTTGTTTAACGGATTAGTACTGTAGGCGCAGTTGGACTGGCTCGTAATAGGTTAGACTGTCTCTCCTCCTTACCCCGCTAGCCATGAAGTATGATTCAATCGTCTCCTTCGAACAATCGCTTAGAGAAACACATTTTCAACGACATTTTTGGCAACCTAACATCTCTATCAATTCATCCTCACTCCTAGCAAACAATGTCTCTCCAAAAGTCTGCTTCAGAAACAAAAGTTCGCAAGCATCTAACTCGCGATCAATGTATTGAAAGAAGAACATTAAGAATACTTGGCTTCACATAACAACATGTACCCGACGAACTTGGCTTCACAAGAAGGCAAGTCCAACTTGCGTATGCTCGAGAGACTGATTACCTTAAGTCTCGCAAAAAATACTCACCTAAACTAAGCGCGGAATAAGTTGATGAGCTTGAGGCTTTCGTCCGGGCGTCTCCTGAAAATCGACAGATGTGCTCTTTGGAACTAGCAATGGGATCCTTCAGCCACTGGGGGATGCAGTGAACGTTTAATTTCTAATGCACTCAAAAAAAGAGGTTAAAGTAGAAGCATTGCTCGGAAGAAGCCTCTGTTAAGTGTGGTCAACTTGCACAAAAGATGTATAGCGGTGTTAAAGGAAAATGGAGGGTACACAAAGTATTGGGACGGAGCAGACTAATACAAAACATGTAGTACGCTTTCAATTTATTTGCGAGCCATACTGAGGGCTTCAATGTAGAATTTTGTGACACAGAGCAATAATTTTTGAAATAGATGTGCAATGTTAGAGAATATCAATTGAATTTTTTTAAATTTGAACTTCAAGTGAGGACCAATGTACTTTTCCAATTGAGTTGAAAACCATCCCCATAATTTAGACTCTCCCGGAATTTCATTGGATAATACCCCTGCTTGCACAACTAGTTGAAAAACTAGACATGGGCCTGCATGTAGACTAAACCAATCTATTCGATATGCACAGGGATCTAACCCCAGTCATTTTGACAATTTTACATTTGATATCCTTAAGAGACTGTATGTAATAAATAGTCAGGCTCAAGTAGAACAACAAAAACCAAATAATAGGACTGGTCATGGCAATTTTGCCAAGTATCACAAGAGGTTTCATCGCGAAGGAATAGACCTTATGTGCAAATGTGGCCGAGAAAGACGCCCGTGGCATTTCTCTGAATGCCGGACAGCGCTAAATGAATGGCGGAAAACAACAAAGGAAATAGCACCAAGTATATGGACAATGTTGGGAGAAAAGGGATGGATAGCTTTTTATAGATTCCTTACCGTAACAGGATGCTACGGGGTGCAAAGTAGGACTTGAATGACCGAGAGATTCTGGGATTCACATAGTACAGGAAACTGCTATGAGATAGCTGTCTAGGCGCAGGGCGTTAAGTCAGGGCAGCAAAAGTTTTTGATGAAATTTTTGTCTTTATTAGATCATGTAAATTTCTGGCCACATAAAGCCAGCATCAGTGGTGTTTGTGGGTCCCCGGGAACACGCACCCGTGTCAAGCCTCCTGGGTGTAGGGCTTTAGCCTGGTACGTTAAATTATTCAATTCAATTCAATTCAATTCAATTCAAAAAACCAAATAATTTTAATTTAAGATAAGATAAGAATTTTTATTATAGTCTCTTCTGAGTCTAAGACTGTGCAGGACTTCTAGAATCTACCATCTAAATTCTGGCTACTATTTCTATGTTAAAATTAAATTGCTTAATGTTTTCCAATAGATGTTGAGGGTCATGCCCTGATTTTGATTTATTACCTGTGGAATTCAATCGCCTTTCTATGATGCCCATCCAAGAAAAATAATAGACCAAAAAATGTTACTTATCTAAGGTTCTACCGCGCTATAGATGAAAGAAGTAATAGGGCGCCATTGCCCATCCCCATTCGAGGTCATATCCCCTTATTATTAGCCTTTTATCAGAATTGGCAGACGAGTTCTTTGGCATAAACTTTATATAGTTATAAGTATAGTTGGTACAAACGCCGAGGTTACCGCACATGGATTGCAATGAATACCCATGGTCAACTAATAATTTCTCTGTAGTTGGCATCTTGAGCATCTCTTGTTGGATTTATGCAGTCAAGGTATGACGAAGTGTTCGTGATTATTTTCTCTGTTAGGAGAACTTCGAAAATCGATGCAACTACTCTCAATATTCCAATGAAACAGGGTGTGATTTTAGTTGAGTTTGGCCACCTGATTCCACTTTGCAGAACCCAAGGTCCTACAGGGGGCGGTATCGAGGCTACCCTGCTATACAGGTATTACAAAATTATAAATATAAAACTGATGTATAGTCTATTATATATAAAGCTAGCATACTAATAGAGTAAAAAGTATAATACTTTACATAAAAATTCTTACATTCCCAGTCACATTAAAACGTAGATAAGCATGCAAAAGCAAATTATAGGGCTTGATTCATGCTTTTTGGAAAATATGTGCTAGGTAGCTTGGGCATTTTTGGAGATTTAGGTGGCAGTAACATCGCTTTTCTCTCATTTCGCAAATTATCCCGCGTGCGATCATTATCGCGAGACCTACCACCCGTCAAGCGTCGCATACCCGTCCTGATACCATATGGGAATGGCTTGATTATATTTTCCAAGAAAAATGATCCTTCACTCGGCATAGTGATACGCTCATCCTCAGGGTCAGAAAAAACTTCGTTATAATCATCATCTGATATGTACATGGCGTTCGTACTCTTTGATATAGCTGGAGCTGATGGTGAAGTTGCAGAGCGTAAATGTAAGCTTCGCCGATTAGGAGATACAATAGAAAATGCTGCTGGATTCATTGTATTTGACTGAGAAGATCTTATATCCGTTGGGCCACTTTGAAAAGATGCACTACTAGATGCGTTACTTTGAGATGGATGTAGAGTTGTGAGCGTTTGGTCATCGTATAGACTAGAGCTAGAGTCAAAGCTCTCTCCCACAAACCCTGGCTCGGTATTCTTTTTTGGAAATCGGTACTCAGATGTAGGACTTTGCAGACTATCTTCAAAGAAATCGTCCAAGCTATCTAACTTAGAGACTAAATCACCGATATTACCGTCTCCCCGGTCATCAGACATCATAGTCTCCGCTCTTTCTGGGGCCTGAAAGTACCCATATTGGAAATCATCTACATGGAATTCAACGTCACTGGTTTTTTCGATACCCAGACTTAGGTTTTCTGTGCTCTGACAAGAGTAGAAGATTATGTGGATGTTTGCTCTAGTCACCTCAGCATATCTGGCTGGAACGGGCACAGACCATCCAGATTCTTTTGGAATACCAAATAAGCTTGGTGTTCGTGCAAATTCTTTTCGGATAGCCTTTGAGGACGCACTTGCCATACTCATGCGCAAGTGTTGTTTTTCCAAAGGGGTGCCTGCAATAACTTTTACTTGATCCAATACTTCTAGAGCATGCATACAGAATTCTGTCTGTAAGAGATGAAGGAGAGGTGAAATTAGGTCGGGACCGTGAAATGCTATCTCTGGCTTGCTCACGTCAATTTCAAGAAGAAATGCATGCAAAATTTCTATAGTTTTTAGTTTGAACCATGCTATTCTGTTTGGTAGAAGACCCATAATAAAAGTGAGGCACCCGAGGTCCCACCGCGGTAAAAAGGTTTCTGTCATCGCTGAAAGTAGTTGAGTAAGGAAATCTCGGCTTAGATGATACTTTGACGCGGCAAAATCTATTAAAACTTGAGAAATCCTAAGATACCCTTGAGACTCTGCGATTTCAGCGAGACAGCAGGCAACTTGAACAACCTCTTCGTTCAGTGCGCTTATATCCAATGTATGAAGAAATCTAGGAAAATTGGCGAGAAGGGTGAATAGTAATCGGCTATCGTCGCCAATTAAATCATCATTAGGAAGTAGCACAAGGCTATTAATCATTCTTAGGCTCAAGTCCAGGCACTCCGATGAGCGTAGTCCTTTAATAATAAGCATGTGTAAACCGTCAAAAGCTCCTTCCCACTTTGCAGGTCGTCCTTCGATCAAAATAGACCTTATGTTACTGTCGTTAAAATCTAGTTTACTCAATAACTCTTCGAGCATGTAAAGTGCCTCGAGAAATTCCCTTTCATTCACTGTGTCTAAGCATGCGCAAACTGTCCAGAAGAGTTGTGGAAATCGAAGCAGGTCTCCAGCTTCTAGCTGATAGATTAGGGACCGCAGGGTTGCCAAAATCTCCATTGAAAATATCTGAACATCAGTTTCTTCATCAGCAATAGTGTTCGAGAGCCTTGCTAGCATGTCAGCTAGCATAGATTGATCAAGTGACGTGAGAATGCATCGAAATATCTGAAAAGAACGGCATGCTATATGTCTCACTGGACAGGATGTAGCCCATGTTAGAGATAACTTTGCCCATTTTTCTTGTATGCCATGATGTGTAGTTTCGAAAGTCTTGATAATCTCTTTCGTAAGCCCTTCCATACCGCGGGGAATCTTATTTTCTGGCTCGTCTAGTTTTCCCGTATGATCTTCGTAAAGCCAAACTACACTTATGTTGTGGGTCCTTATGGATTCGACGAGATTTTCTGCTGAAATCTTTGTAGAAACAGATCTATCATCGTCAATTTTCGAAATAACAAATTCGTGTATGAGATGAATGAGCATTTCACGAGCCTGCTCTTGTACGATTGGGATGTAATGATCCCACAAGGAAGTAACCACCTGAAGCAATAAGGGCATCTTGTCTGGAACAAGCTGCACAGAAGACACCATTAAGTCAACCAGCAGAATTAAAGACAATTGCCCCATCGAGAACCAAGTAGACTTGGAGCTAACAGGCAAAATCTCACTGAGGTCTGCGACGTAGGGAAACTTAAGCGCATTGGGTGGCGGGGGCATCAGATCGCATTTTTCACTCGGAACCATAGATTTTGGGGTAATCTGCATTAGTAAAAACTCGATGACCTTTTCGCCCGCAGATGTATTTGATAGAAAAACGACAATCTGCTTCGCATATTCGACGAAGTTCTGTTCATGACGATCCATACACAAATATACAATAAATCTGAGGATTATCCGAATGTTTGCTTCGTGTGGCCCAGTAGCTAGTGCCTGCCAGAGTGCTTGTATTTCATTGTGAAGAATACCACCTGATTTGATAGTAATTTCGCACATATTTGACATTAGAGCATAAGACTGAGCGGTGGGTCCTCCATTAGGATCAATTTGAAGTTCTACGGCCTGCGACCAAGGAAGTGAAACAATCAGTATATTTCGTTGAGAAGCCTGCTCAAGATCCTTGAAGTAGGATGTGAACTCTGAGAATATAAAAAAAGCCAAATCGGGATATTGGCAGGAAAGTCTTCTAGATATCTCAAATTGAGCGGGTTTATATACTGCTTTAGTTTTATCTGAAATGCTGATATCATAATTTTGGATTTTAGAACTCTGCTGCTGCCTCTCGTCAAGGCATCGTAAGAGGTGTGCTGATCTCGATCGAGTTTCGCTTAACTCGCTACCGAGTGCAAATAAACCTACACCCAAGAGTCTCCAAAAGGGGACTGGATAATCAGGATACTCAAGCAAAACTTGTGTAATTACTTCAAAATAACTTTCTAAAACTTTTGGATGCTCTGATACGTAGCATCTTGTTATCGAGTGTTCGAGAAGATATGGAAATTCTTTATTATGAATGATCAAGTTTTTGAGTGCTCTTCTGCCAATAACGTGCATCCTATTGCTTCCTGCACCTAAAATTGTATCAATCCAGCTGAGCATGCGCCTAATATCGAATTGTAAATTTGCACAGCTTTCTGTCGTGAAACTTAGAGGTCCACTACATAGAGCGGCCATTGCGCTGAGAGCAGCTGTACGAAGATTTCTTCTTTCAATCTCCATAGCAGCTGTTACGGTACCTCGCTCGCCGATAGTCTGCTGGTCAACAATGCATTGTCTCATGTTATCTTCCCGCTGGCGGATCTTACTTTGATTGGGGGAGAAACCACACCAATCTTCCATCAGGGCGAAGGACGACTTTCTTGATTCAAAAGACATCCATCTTGATGGATATTTGGTGTGATTAATACCCTCAAAAAGCTCCTCCATCAATCCACAATAATGCCGCCGAAGCTTTTGAAATTCCCAGTCCATCTGCACATCTGCATCCATCAGAAATAGTTTTAATTCTTTCGTATATTGGACAAGGTTATTTAGTATCCAATCATCTTGATTCACGTCTGGGCATTTCAATAGGTGCGAAGTAAGTTGGTACACATGAGTAACCTCAGTCCGCAGAAGATCTGTTTTTCGGTTCCTCTTAGGGCTACTCGCTGATCTCTGATGTATTCGAGCCCTGGCATCATCGCTGCACCGAGTGACGACTCCCTGAAGCTCTTCTAACAAGGTTTTATAAAGATTTACATTTATCGATCCTAAAGATACGACTACGCAGTCTCTGATTGAAGTCGGACTAACTGATAGAAGCGGTATGATATACTTGAATAAGACTCTTGCAGAGGTTATTTTCTCCTGGGGTTGGCTTTGCTTTGATCCTTTACGAAGATGTTGAGTTGGAGGCGGTGGGGAAAGAAGCTGATTCCCTTTGTTGGACAAGGTAGTGCATGCAACTATTAGGTATAATTTCCACTGCTCAATCAAGACCTCGGGTGGGGTTGTTGAAGATCTCGAATAAATTCGAGCACTTCCAGCTTCGAAGCGGTCAAATGAGCCGTGTGGTGGCCCCTTGGTTACTTCTGATAATGCTAAAATTCCCTTATACATCTGCAAGATACGGTTGCAGATTAGCTCTCTACCTAATGTAACAGCAAATGGGCAGCGATCGTAGCTGATTCGTATTAGATTCGGAAATATCTTGAGCCACAACGTTGCGTCATATGAAGTTTCACTACTGCATAGTTCAATAAGTGCATCTTCGAAGTTTCCTTTTCGCATTCCACGTTGTAGTCGGCTCCGTTCCGCAACGGATAGGTGCTCATCCTTGAAGTCCATTACTTTTACTGATTCTTCCTCAAGTATATGAATAATTCTCCTACTATCTTTGCCCAACGCAATGTCAAACTCTTTTATAAGACGGAGGACGGTTATGGAAAATGCCCTGACTTTTCTGGATTGAGAACAAAGAAAAAATAGTCCGTGCGCCTCAACTTCATCAACGTAGGCCCATATTCCAGATAGATCGAGATGAATTCCACGCCTGTCAGTACCGTTATCTTCAGATAAATTTGCAGCAGCCTCTTGGCTTTTTTGTTTAATTTCTTCGATCCATATTTGAAGGAGCTCAATGTATAACTTAAGTGTACTTTCAACGTAGCCATGTCCAAGTAACCCACCTTCTAACATTGTAAAGTAACGATCGTCGAAATTAAAGATAAAGCGTGCAAAGCCAATAGTTACATGCTGTGCGTGAGACTGTCTCGCTATGAGCTTCAAGGATTGGGCAGAGGTTTCCGCAATATTATTTTGAATGTGGGCTGTTCCCGTACAAAGAAGATTTATCAGGGTGTTAAATGGTATATCAGAGGAGATGAATCGGGGTAAAGCTTGAACAGCAACGTGAAGCAGTTCATAAAATCCTTGTTTCTGTTCAGAGGGATTTTGATGATCTTCACGACGAGCAAAATTGAAGCTTTCCGAGAGGGGTGTTTTGGGGATTGGGCTGTTAAATTTTTCGTCTAGAATGGCTTGACCTCCAAATGCATTATCACATAAAATTATTATCTTGCCCAAGATCATACAAAATTTGGAGTAAAACTCTAACGCAACTTCGGTCAAACTGGAGGTAACAACAGGTCGAGACAAACTCTCCCATACGCTTTTCATATCGAGATTCGAATGTGCCATATTTAGAGGAGCTGTCGTTAAGGGCGATGTGGGACGCTTGTCATTTGGTGGTAGTATTGGTTGATATCTGGGAAATGGAGGCTTTCCCAATTCTCCCTTTTCCCAATCGGACATAATAACAAGGAAAGCTCTAATAGCTATAACTGTTTTTTCGGGTTCTAGCTGCTCAATCTTAAGTTCACGGCCAGACTCGAATAAGTCGGCATTAATTAGAGGGAAAATTATGGTTCCCAGACAAAATTCTAAGTGCTTGTACCCAACAATCCGGATAATTTGTATTAGTGAGTTAGAGCTTGAAGGATCTGCTGTCAAGTATGTTTTTCTTCCAGTCGGGAGAATTAACTTCAATATTTCTTCAAGCTTTTTGGTGGCAGTAGCTGGTTGATCGGCTGAAGTTCGGTAAAGATAAGTCCATAGAAGCCGGGAAATGGCCTGCATGCAAGTTGGTCTTGAACTACGATCCTTGAGTTTCTGATGCAGTGAAAGAATGAGCTGCAGCCATTGTGCACTAAAATTCTCTTCTGGAGATACACAGAGAATGGTGGTTGCTAGAGGAAAAGCTATAGGCCAGTGTCGTGGTTTGACTAGCATGGATGAGAGGCGCGTTCCAATAGTTGCAAGAACTTCTGTCCATTTAGGAGAATTAAAATCAATATTAGGCTGAGCAGCGACCGGGAAAAGAAGTGTCTCAATAGCTTGACAGTGTGCATATTTGAGACGCTGACCATGACACCTTACAAATAATTGACTCATGGCAATAATAAGCTTGCAGGACTGTTCTGATACCTGATCTGGGCCTACCTTTATCCGCAGGCATTTCATTCCTTCAAGAATTAGTTCGATTTTGGCCTCGAGCTCACGATTTGTCGAATTTTTGACTTCTAGATCTCTTTGCAGTTTTTCAAGATACGTTGTGAACTTTTCAGATACGCTTTCAAAGCTGATTTCTCCCATGACTCCCATCAGCTGACTGAATAGCAACCAATTTGATAATCTGAGGGGTGAATTCATCAGCTGATCTGGATCTGCAGCTTTTATTTGGCCAAATATAATTGATTCCAGCTTTTCTTCCATTTCAGGTGTGATTTGCTCCAGGGTACTGTCGCCTATCAAGTTAATTAAAACCCGACAAAGTATATAGATTGAGGCCGACGATCGCCGCTCTGCTTGAGCGACAAACTCTTGGCGAGCTGAAACAGTTGGTAGACTATTCGTTAACATGCTCTCCTCGGAAGCATACTGAGAAGGTTCTGTATTTCGACGAGGCATCTGACGAAACTAATTCTATATTAATTTCTATACTATCCGACAGAGGTATTTCGAACCGACCTGTTGTAGCAGTGACCTAGCTTCGTTTGCGGCATCGCTTTTGTTTTTGCGCCACAACATCAAGGAATCGATCAAAGGTTTAGGCTTGCGACTTGCGACATGACTCAAGGCTGAGATAAGCTGGTCAAATTTCGTATCTAAGCCAGGCCCACATATTTGCTCTATTCGAGGCTCAATTTCACGGGAAACCGCAACACACTGAGTTATTTTTTCTTCAGCCCGAGCAATAAACTGTGGTTGTTATTAATCTTTCGTGCATGAGAAAGCTTGAGAGGACTAACAAGTGTAAATAATACGTGCAAAGCATACTCGCCTGCAGTTTTGAGATCATCTTTTTGATGTCTAGAGTATGACTGATGCCGCCGGTGATCTCCACTTCCCCATCCATTTCGGATTCTTGTCGACTTTTCCTGGATAAATTTCTGTGTCCCACTTTCTGGTGTATTAGGCAATTGGTCTGATATAGTAGTAGTGTTTGAGGTAATTATACTGAGTTGAGGAGTTCCAAGGCCATTGACTGAAGAAGCAACACATGAAGACCCCGTATTGTGCATGTCACCTCTTTCACCTCCGACAGCCGCGATTATTTGTGGACTGAGTGGGCTACTTGAAGTGCTTGCAAAACAGCCATTTCTGGAGTGTTGGTATCCATGGACTATGCTAGTCTGTCGATGGTGAGTTTTGGAATCAACCGGTCGGTTTCCGCTGATAAGTTGCGGTGGGTTATTGCCGCAGGATTGTAGGTCTGTTAGGGAAACTCTTGATGCGAGACTCAAGGTATGAAGTGGTGGCGAGTTCACTTCTGTTCCGGCACGAGCTAAATTTGAATTGACAGGCTCATTTTGTACGTCAACGAGACTGTCTGATGAGTGAGCTTTAAAGACTGATTAAGTTTTAGGATTCTCAACAAATGATACATCCTTAAGGATTTGGCAGTGAGAAGCGGCAATTAGAATCCAACAGAGTGAAAAGACTTACTATTCTTGAATACTGCAGATGTCATGATGACTTCTAGCCAAATTGTGCCACGCAAGCTATCCCAGAGAACATTTGCATGCCATTTTCTAGGTGGAATTTGCTTTACTCATTGAAGCAGTGAACAGCCCCCAGATCTACACTTCCCCCATGTGTAACTGAACTGACATAAGATATATATGAATTGGTACTGCCGCTGATCCCGTGGTGCCACAATGTAGTTCTAGACAATTTTACCTTGGTCTGAATTGGTAATGAATAATAAGCTATCTTAACGTGTGATCGATTCGTTGTAAATCTCAAGTTAAATGATAGATTCCGAAATATTCTGTTAGTACACTTATGAAATTGCATAAATATATGTGTAATCTAATAAGCTTGGCATTCAGTTTTATCCTAGCATAAAATCATAGGTGGGGCTCCATCTGACCACTGCCGCTTGAAGATCACAACTGCATGACGGCTGATTGAATCTTGTATAACCGACGGAAATACAAAATTAAAAAGAATTCCCGACGAATCAACACCTAACAGCGCGGCTGTGATGGCGGAAAAAGGTAGGTTTTCCAAGTGAAAGTATTCAGGGAGAAATGACGAGTAAATGGCGGTTACGCATCAAATCAATGATTACTCTTAATACTTGGCGTGCTAGAGCTAATGATTATTCGTCTTTTTTTAGACATGTATTTTTTACGCTTCAATTTTTTTTGATTTGTTAAATTACTATCCTTTCCCAGTTCAAGTCCATGTGGCACATGTGAGACCCCTATGCCTCAACGGGGCTTGGGAGGAACGAAAATTAAACAGATTTTAGTGGTGTTCCTTACCAACCTTCAGCTTTCACTTTGGAGTATGCGATCCTAAACTCCTTACCCCTTGCAGGATCGCCCGAAGTGCCACACTCTTTGGCCAGTGGACGAGGTGACTTAGCCCCATTTTTTCCGGGTATGTCTGTTGCATTTTGTACTACCAAGATCTACGACTGCCTAGCACATTGGGCTCTTCTCTGACCCAAGCCATACCATTTTCAGTGGTGGTGTCCTCTTACTTCGAAGATCATTGATATATTGCCCGTGATGAACAGCCTCTCAACTCAGTATTTACCCATGAATTTCGGCCACCTTTCCACGCAAGCTTCTAACCAAAAAAGTAAATAGGTAGCAATAGAAGCTGCTTGTGCGGGAAAAAGTATCAAAAACCTGCAGCCCCAACCAGGCGAGGTCTAGACACCGGGACCACATGAGGTGCGCATATTCATCTATATCTCCTTTCTTTGTAACAGCCGAGGTCAACTTGATCCAATCCGCCATCTCCGTATCGGGTGCTGGGTACGCTCTGGAACCTCATCGGATGGTATTTCCTCCATGATCAAGGGTTGGTGATGAGTGAGACTCCGACCCTACCATCTGATATCATCGTGGTTAGCTTCATGGTAATGGTGATAGGGTATGTGATGAGAGATGAAGACGATGCAGATGATGAAAGCGATTGGGAATCCCCATCGAAGTGAGGACAGTGTTACATAATCTCAGCTCTGCAGACTCAACAGTGAGAAAAGGCTCCATGGAAAAGGTGCCCGAATTCCACGTGTAAATATTGAGCTGAATGGCTCTTCATCACGGGCAAGATATCAATGATCTTTCAAGTAACAAGAGGCAAGAAGAACTATACAAGGAGTGGCCTAGGTCAGAAAGTAGCCCAATATGCTAGATAGTTTAAGACTCAAGCAGTACAATAAACGTACCTCTCTCTCTGCAGTGAGAGCTGGAGGTTTGTAGGGGACATCACTGACAGGCGTTGATTACAGTCCCCCGATGAAGACTGAAGAGCGCTATTGGGCGGAAATAAGGGCTAATTTGACGGCCTGCCTTATCACTATCAGAAACGTTAAAGTAGCACTAGCACTCGCATAGGCTATGAACATTAAAACCTTTGAGAACTTGAGGGTTACCTGTTTCCTCGCGTCGCTCACCCGGCACTTGTATCTCGGGCTTTAAACCGTCTTAAAGACTCTTTTTTTACAAGATATCTCGACTTGATGGAAGTTAGAATAATTATTTATTATTATACGACATGGAGTGTCTAGTTGATATAAGAGCTAGCTGAGATAGTCAAGGTCAAACTTAGGAGTCGCGTCAATAACGCTACTCATGCAGATCAGTCGCGTGGAGAAAGTTTGTACTTAGTAGTTTTAGTCCATCTCACACTCGTGAATACAATACTATCGTTTCTCATTCTATCTGACCTCCTTCCACTGTGCTAATTCCCTTGTCTTCTCTACATTCATGCAGCTACAGAAGGCCTCCCAATTAAATATTTATGTACAATAATTAGCGTCGTGCCCGCGCATAGCACGTGAGCTCCTTACGTGCCGGTTAGTTCAGTCTAAATAAAACTACCCGACGTGTTGGCGCCTGAACAAACCCAATAAAGCAAATGAAAGCCAGGATCTTATCATCCTGCGCTTGAAGATTAAATTATACATGGTTACCGTTCACCCTTTAGCTCTCATATTTCCAGATTGTATTGAATGAAGAATAGATTATACAAAAAATATGGAGGGGGGAACTTAGATGAATCACATGATTCCCTTTCGGTCAGACTTGTTTTGTTTTTCCAAAGAAATTTGTGACCCGCACCCAGCTCTTAAACGCGTGAACTCCCCCCGCGGAAGCCAGAGCCCAAGATATGCTGGGACTATGATTCTATGCTCTGTGGAGCTGTGCCTGGTACTGCCCAAGGTGGCAATAGAAAAAGTGGTTGGGGTACTTTTCTCCTCCGCATGAGCAGGTTAGATTGGCGTTTTCGTGTTGAAACCGTCGGTGGTAGTCTGCGAAATCGCCATGTTCAGACCAGTAGTTAGAATAACTGGGGCCATCGAGTAGATCACGATGTAAGTATACACGTTGCTAAAAATCCTATACTTAGTTTTACTTCGGTAATTACTTGAATCCACACGCTCTGTAACCACAATGACTGAGGGGTAATTGTTTCCTTATTACAATTAGCCATTTAACTGTGATAATCTCCTAGTTCTAGCTTCGCAAGGGGGTTCAGTCTTTCAAAACTCTAGTTTAACGTTCTCTTGTGAATATCGTGAGCATGACTTGTAAATGTCTATTTACGATAGATACAAGGTCTATGACAGATACCTTGGCAGGGGCGGCAAACCACCATGCATGATGAGTTTGAGGCAGAGTCATATGTGCTTGGGTGAAGCATCCGGGTCGGGAAGTTGCAGCCAAGGAGTATCATAAAAACTTAGCATTGTGTCATTGTCGTGAACCTAGGATCTAGTGATACGTAGACAACGGGGGATATGACTGAGTCAATGAGTCTCAGTTTACGACCAAGTAGTGTGTTTGTGTTTATTGTGCTACTTGAGTCTATGACTATCTAGCACATTGGGCTCCTCTCTGACCCAGGCCACACCTTGTACAGTGCTCCTATCCTCTTTTATTACTCGAAAGATCATTGATATATTCCCCGTGATGAATAGCCATTCAGCTCAGTATTTACCCGTGGAATTCAGCCACCTTTTCCACGGAACCTTCTACCCAAAAAAAATAAAAATGGTAGCAATGGAAACTGCGTGCGCGGGAAAAAGTCTCAAAAACCCGCAGCCCCAGCCAGGCGAGGCCTAGACACCGGGACCACATGAGGTGCGCATATTCATCTATATCTCCCTTCTTTGTAACGGTCGAGGTCGACTTGATTCAGTCCACCATCTCCGTATCGGGTGCTGGGTACGCTCCGGAAACTCATCGGATGGCATCTCCTCCGTGATCAAGGTTTGGTGATGAGTAGAGCTTCGACCCTACTCATCTGATCTGATCGTGGTTAGCTTCATGATAATGGTGATAGGGGAATGTGTTGAGAGATGAAGACGATACAGACCGCGAAAGCGATTGAGAATCCTCTTCGAAGTGAGGACTTTGTTACTCAATCTCGGCTCTGCAGACTCTACAGTGAGAGCTGGAGGTTCGTAGGGGACACCGCTGACAGGTGTTGAGAAGAGTCCTCCCACTGCTTCGGTTGAGTCCGTGGTGACCACACTTGAACATTCAAAAGCATGGCGTTAATTACGAGGCCATGTCGATCCACTCTCGTTTGCACTGACTCCGATGGCAGGCTGACCATAATTTATCTATAAGAGTGGACATTTTTCTTTGATCGCTGGTGTTCCTTTCCGTCGTGTAGCTATCGTATTCTATTAATCGTAAGGCCGGGGATCTTATTCTCAGTCGCCGTCTCCATACCCCTAATTATGGCGTAATTTTTGGTATCTCTGCCGCTCTCAATTCTTGTCCGCAGTTGGACTCTAGAAATCTTGACAGGAATATCTTTCCGCAAAATTTTGAAGTCGTTTGGTTGGCGCATGTTAAGCGCCGCGTCTCTCTGGGACGCCGACTGAAAGAACATCTCAGTGTCGTTGCTTCGCATTTAACCAACTGCGTGTACAACTTGTATGTGCTCTTTTGCCTTTGACGGTAGCTCTCAAGGCTAAAATTTATCCGCTTCGTCGATTCTGATATGTACCGCTGTTCTAGTCATCTGCGAAGCTACGACTAAAAGATAGGTCCTTGGTTGCGGCATTCCCGTTGAAATTTCTAGTGCAGCATTACGAACGGGGTCCGCAAGACTCTTCTTTACAACCTCCTCAAGCGCCATATCCTCTCCTCGATTGGAGCTGGGATTTTGGACATTGCTATCCAGGCCCTCTTTTGACAATTAAAAGCCTTTTTGACTTCGTTGATATCCTCCGTTGATGGTAAGCCCTCCTCATCTATCTTGCCCATCGCAATTAGTCTATCCTTTTCCAATAGTTTCCCTATGGTTTCGAGGTTCTTATCCATTGGAGCTGTCTGTGCTCATCTGCTGTTATTTGTAGTCTCAATTGTCGCTTCTTGTGACGCGGCGAAAAGTTGGTAGCAATGTAAAGAAGATGAAAAAATATGATCCACGTTGCCAAATTGATAGGAGTGGCAGCGTAGAAGGCTGCGCAGTTTTCTGGTACAATGATGTTGATCTTCGCAGGGAGGGTGGAGGCCAGTCGTTTAATTAATTTCATGATTTTTCTGCAAGGTCTGAATACGCACAAGAAATAACACTTCACTTCTCGCTTTTAGTTTCACACCCATAATTACCGGAGGGTAAGTCTGAACACCTGTACGCGGTGTCCTCTACGAACCTGGGAGTGAAATATTCTCCCAGAGCCAAGTTCAGTCAAATTTCGCAATATGAAAGAAGTTGGCCCACGAGGCAAAATTTAAAATTACTCCACCACGTCGTTTTTCCGCTCCCAACGAGTTTGACGTCTACCTAAGCCTTATCAAGTCTACAAGTACGACCTAGTACATCCTCATCCCAATGACCACACCTCTCTTCGACCTTCTCTGGCCTCAGTTGACCACCAAATACACGCCCACGCCGATATTTATACCCGACGGAGGAAGCAAAGCGTGGAGCACAAATCTGTGAGACAGTTCTTTGGGATGGACGTGAGAGAGAATAGGACAAGTTTACAAGATGATGCGACGGAAGGATTTAGCCTCGAAGAGAGTGAAACTCCAAAATTTGGTAAGAGTTTTATGAATTGGGCTTTGTGCGCGCCAAGACTTCGCTTGCGAGAGTGCAGCTGACACTATAAATTCAAGCAAACGATAAAATGTGCAGTGGCCCGCCTCCTGGCGGTTTTCTCTGGTATAGTCTGAGTAGCCTAGGCACCTACTCCACTTGGGAAGGAGACATCTCAGATCACATTTCGCGCGGAGAAAAGTTGAAAGATGATGGAGGCATGTCTGGATAACTCTGGGTTTTTGAGACGTTTCCCTGAGTGGGTATTCACGTATGAGGGTTGACTTGGGGTGAAGAAAAAGCCGCCATAACTTCGCAGTGGTACTTGCAAATGAAATCTGAGACATGAGTGCTCTTCCTCTACGTTGAATCATCTATTCTGTACCTTTCTATGATATTGTGTCATAGCTAGATAGCTGCACACGCAATTCAAATCTAATGCAAAAACCCCCCCCCCCCCAAAATTACCTTGATTAGTAACGCCCACGTAGTGGCAAAGATGAGAAGCAATATCCGTATTTAATTAGGCGATGGCAACAAATAAGCTGCGTTTGATCGATCTGTACCCTAGTAATACTGGCTTTAAGTATTCCGATTATTGATTATTTATCAGGGAATCAGAGCGAGGTAGTTGGGGTATGGTTCTCAGCATCTGGAGGAAATAATATTTGCCTGGGATTCGATATTTTTCCATTTTATAACTTGATTTAATTCAGGATAACCTTGACTCTCTCTTTGTGTCTTTTCCCCTATCAATTAAAGTCTGATGTTTGTCTGACCAGAATGAAAGACTCACTGCTGCATAACTGAAATAAATTGCGCAGCAAGTGATTGGTAACTTGCTAATATCGGACAAGTGAGTCTGCCCAATAGTGTTAGCAGTAAATTCTCTAAATTCTGTTTGAACCACAAAAGGGTTTGTTCAAACCCTTGAAAGTGAGCCCACTACCGGCATCATAACAAGCAGGAAGCTATGAACGGCTCAAAAGAACTTCAGCCAACGAGATTGAGCATGGTTCTCAAACTCAATAGCCAGTGTGTAATTGCGTCTGGGAGGGTAAAAAAGAACGTTTACACCATTTGCTTGCCTCATTACACCATTATAGAAGCAAGACTATTTTGCTGTCTACTACGTTAATACTGTGGGAAGAAACCACTACGAGCGTCTGGTCTAAGCCTGTTAATTGAAAATTAATTTATCTCTCTTAAAAATTTTGATAGTTGGGGATTCCAAATTATTACTTTCGTGAGCTTCTGGGTATAGCGGTGTGGTAAGGCGTGGAAATAATTGATTTGCCTTCCACTAATCATTGTTGTGAGAGTATGTACGTATACTGAGCATAGTTACGCCCAGCATAGAGGCAGAGGGGAGCCAGAAGTTGTGATGTAGTATAAGCCTAACTAAAACTTTGCATCATTGAATGATGTGTCAATATTGAACTCTCACATATTGAATTAAGCTTGTCTATTCAGACACGTAGACTCATGGACGTATTAGGTGGTAAGATAATTGATTAAAACATGGATTAGTTCTTTCGGCCCCATTTAGCCTAATCCTTTAGCGTGGAGTTTTGCCCGCACAAAATTTATCTCAAATACCACCCCTCCATCTCTTCCTTACTGCCGCGTCAGAATAAACTCCAGCTACAGTCAAAATGTCTTCCAAGGAGAATATCAATAGCGAAAAAGTTCTTGAGGAGCTTATGGCTAAGCTCAATATATCAAAGGAACAATCTGACATCAACGCTGCGACACACAACCTGGCAACATTCATCAACTCACCAATCGAAGAAAATGACGCTCCTACTAAGTATGCAAAGATATTATTTATGTCTAATGATTTTAAAACTTTAGACAGTCATAAAAATCACATATCCGCAGCCCACTTCACTATTCGTTCGAAACAAGCAGATATGTAATATGAAGAAGACGTGCTAATTTTGTTTCTAGGACTGTCAATTTACTCAAGAAGCAGCTTGGTAATAAAAAGGACTCCAATGTTCGAGAGCGTGCACTCAACGCCATCCAGGCCATTGCCGACCATGCCGATACATCACCTGCTGTTGAGCCATACTTTGCCGTCATACTCCCACTAGCATTGGCTGCGGTTGGTGACAAGATGACTCCTGTCAAAAATGCAGCTCAGGCTGCTTGTGTAAGCATTGTTAAAGCCTTGAACGCCAATGCTGTTAAGGCCGTACTCCCAACCATCATTAATTCAATCTTAACTGCTCAGAAGTGGCAGGAAAAAATAACTGGACTCACACTCATTGAAGTATTGGTTGAATCCGCACCTATCCAACTCGCACTTCGTGTACCCGACCTGATTCCAGTAATCTCTGAATCAATGTGGGATACCAAACCAGAAGTTAAAAAAATGGCTTACGGCACTATGGAGAAGGTATGCGGCTTAATCGTCAATAAAGATATTGAACGTTTCATCCCAGAGCTCATAAAGTGTATTTCTAAGCCCGAAAATGTCCCGGAGACTATTCATCTTTTGGGAGCTACGACTTTTGTTACTGATGTGCACGAACCAACTTTAGCAATAATGGTCCCACTTCTGGATCGTGGACTAGTGGAGCGCGAGACAGCTATCAAACGAAAATCTGCCGTGATCGTTGACAACATGTGCAAGCTTGTCGAGGATCCTCAGATTGTTGCTTCTTTCTTGCCCAAGCTAATGCCAGCTCTCACCAAAAACTATGAAAATTTAGCTGATCCAGAGGCCCGAGAGAAAACAAAACAGGCTCTCGATACTCTAACTCGAGTTGGTGACGTTAAAGATGGAAAAACTCCAGAAGTTTCCCACGTTGGCGATATAAATACTGTTTTACCCCAACTTAAAGAAATTCTATCCTCTAAGCACAAGCACATTGTCGAACGGTTTGAACCGGTTCTCGTCTATTGTGCTGCAATATCTGGGCAGTTAATTGACGAGAAAGAAGCGGATTCAGTCAGCTGGACTACTGCGCTAAAACCGTATTTTGCTGCTATTATTGGCGAAAGTGACGCCCAAGCCATAGTAGACGCTCTCCGAAAGCGAGTGTCGCCGGGTGCAGAAGCTGAAGATGCCGAAGAGGCTGACGACGAAGAGGGCGAAGATCTTTGCAATTGTACCTTCAATCTAGCATACGGTGCTAAAATATTGCTTAATCAAACACATCTACGTCTCAAGCGTGGGCAACGTTATGGTCTATGTGGACCTAATGGTTCGGGAAAGTCCACTCTTATGCGTGCGATAAATAATGAACAGGTTGAAGGATTTCCGAAGAAGAGTGAAGTTAAAACTGTGTTCGTCGAACACGACCTTGATTCTGCTGATACTGAGTTAACTACAATCGATTGGACTATGAAGAAGCTTGCAGAAGTTGGTATTGATACCTCACAAACCGATGTCGAAAGGCAGCTTGGGGAATTCGGTTTCACACCAGAAATGACCAGTAACTTAATCACTGCACTCTCAGGAGGATGGAAGATGAAATTAGCCCTTGCTCGAGCAGTATTTGAGAAACCTGATATCTTACTTCTTGACGAGCCCACAAATCATTTGGACGTCAAAAATGTAAAATGGCTCGAAGACTACTTGATGAGTTCGCCCTGCACATCTATAATAGTTTCTCACGATACTGGCTTCCTCAACAATGTTTGTCAGCACATCATCAACTATGAGCGTTTCAAACTTAAGCGCTATCGTGGAAACTTGAAGGAATTCGTCAAGAAATGCCCATCAGCGAAATCCTACTTTGAACTTGGTGCTTCTGAGATGGAGTTTAAATTTCCTGAGCCCGGTTTCTTGGAGGGTGTCAAGACAAAGGCCAAGGCCATTATTCGCGTTTCAAAAATGTCTTTCCAGTACCCTGGGACTCCAAAGCCTCAAATATCAGACATTAACTTTCAATGTTCTTTAGGCTCTCGTATTGCTGTTATCGGACCTAATGGTGCCGGTAAATCTACTTTAATTAATGTCCTAACTGGTGAACTCATCCCTACAGCAGGAGATGTCTACACCCATGAAAACATCCGCATAGCATATATCAAGCAGCATGCTTTTGCCCACATTGACCATCATTTAGAGAAGACACCATCAGAATATATCCAGTGGCGTTTCCAAACAGGCGAGGACCGTGAAACAATGGATCGTGCCAATAAAATTGTCACTGATGAGGACGAGAATGCAATGTTGAAAATATACAAGATAGAGGGAACCCAAAGACGAGTGATTGGTATTCACTCTCGCCGCAAGTTCAAAAACTCCTACGAATATGAGTGTTCTTTTGCTCTCGGAGAAAACATTGGCATGAAAAATGAGAGATGGGTTCCTATGATGACTGCTGATAACGCTTGGATTCCTCGTTCCGAAATCCTCTCCTCTCATCAAAAGATGGTAGCTGAAGTTGATCAAAAAGAAGCCTTGGCTAGCGGTCAGTTCCGTCCACTTGTGCGCAAGGAAATCGAATCACACTGCGCAAACTTTGGCCTTGATGCCGAGCTAGTATCTCACTCACGGATGTTGGGTCTCTCTGGTGGTCAGCGTGTCAAGGTTGTGCTAGCTGCATGCTCATGGCAACGCCCTCACTTGATAGTCCTTGATGAACCCACAAACTATCTAGATCGCGATTCCCTCGGAGCACTTTCGAAAGCCATCAAGTCATTCGAGGGCGGAGTCATAATAATAACCCACTCTGCGGAATTCACGAAAGATTTAACTGAGGAAGTCTGGGCAGTCCTGTAAGTCAATACGATGACAAATCTTGACCCTAGTAATCTACTAATTATCAAAAGCGATGGAAAAATGACTCCATCTGGGCACAACTGGGTTCAAGGACAGGGATCGGGTCCCAGACTCAAGGGCGACGATGATGAGGAGGAAGAAAAATGTAACTATTAATCCTTCTAATTCCTTCGACTAGACTAACAACTTCCAGTCGACGCAATGGGCAATAAAATCGTCTCTACGAAGAAAAAGGCCAAACTAACCAGCGCAGAGCTTCGGAAGAAGAAGAAGGAGCGTATGGCCCGAAAGAAACGCGGGGAGGACGTTTGTAAGTGTTTTTATTTCTATAAGAACGCGTAACACTAGCTAACAATCAGCAGCTGAGGATGATGATTAGTTTGTTATATGAGGACAGGACTAGAGAAAATGGTAAATTGACTAAGCCGATGCATTTGATAGGTCTAGAATGGAGTTTATATTGGGCATTTTTTCCTTCACAGCCTTGCGATAATGTACGAAATAAATCAGGTAGTATAACCAATAGTAGGCCTGCTCCTGTCGCTAGATGGAGTCAAAGAGATTGAAGGAACTGAAATCTACTGTCACGATCTAAAGCTTTACGATTCTTGTCAGGAACAATTAGATTTTACGCCGATACGTTTAAAAGTACATCTCATTATGAGTTTAATTCTGAACTATGAAGGTGTAACACAAGCTTTTGCAGATTTCCCGTATTACTCCAAACTAGCCATCACGTGTGATACATTTACATTTCGAAGGTAATTATATCATGGCGGTTTGGAATTTTAGTTGGGCGTTGGCACGATGAATTTTACTCCCTTACTGATGTTCTGTTTGTCATATGTTAGCTTGTAGGTAATAAGGATTGGGAAATGAAAATAAGCTCGGGTTAGCATCTACCTTGGCTAGTTCTTCAAGAGCAACGGCGAGAAGTTTTTGTTCCTCGGGCGATATCTTTCCGATATCACGTACTTTCTCAATACCACTCGGACCTAATTCAACTGGGCTTGCAAAGAAGTCTACACCTTGATCCTTGTAAAGTGGACTGTCAACGAAAGCTGGTTCAACTATTTCTTTTTGTCCTTGGGCAGCCTTCAACAGACTATCGGCAAATCGAGCACCAGCCATTGCCATCGAAAGCGTGGCGGATCCACCTCCATTCTTTGCTTTGACCACCTCATCACCCCCGTACTGGACACGTCTAAGTAAATCGGCATTTCCTACCAGATCTGGATGAGACGATTGAGAGAATAGAGGAACTATCGTAGCGCCAGAATGTCCACCAACAACAGTTATATTTTCGGTTTCGGGATCAGTGTTTTTTATCTCAGAGACGAAGCGGGAGGCGCGGACAACGTCGAGAGTAGTGACACCAAAGAGGCGCTTGGGATTGTAACATCCGGCTTTCTTGAGCACTTCAGCAACAATTGGAACTGTGCTATTCACAGGATTAGAGATTATGAGCAAATTTGCGTTTGGGGCCGATTTTGAGATGGCACTGGCTAGATCACGAACGATTGATGCATTGATGTTAAATAGGTCGTCGCGAGACATTCCAGGCTTTCGAGGAACACCGGCAGGTATTATTACGATTTCAGAGTTTGTGAGAGCTTCAGATAATGCATCTTCAGTTTTATCATGACCTGTAACTTTGCTCTTCGTGTTTATGTGTGCCAAATCCGCGGCGACGCCTATGATGTGAGTCAGTAAACTCTACATTGAAGTGAATTGTTTATTTACCTGGCGCAGCATTGATGTCATATAAAGCTAACTCGGATATCTAACTATATTAGCAGATGTACGGCCAAGTTTGTCGGGTATGTGACAGCGTCTATTCATCATGACATAGTATGAAAAGTTTTGGGATTGCTTTGAGCTAGGTTCTGTAACTTCTTACCCGAGGATTAAGCTTCAATAGAAGTGATAGCGGCTGTCCAATGCCTCCTGACGAGCCGAGGACTGCAACTTTTGATAGCTACACTGTAAGTTAGAATGTTTACTCCAGATACGTGGTCCGATTTAGATCGTACGTCTTTAACAGATGTAGAAAAAGTGCGATTCTTCGCGGCAAACGCAAATGCTCTGCGTGTGGCAAACATATCTGGTTTTGATTTTAATGACGAGGTTACAATGGTACGGCGTGTATAGTGATTTAATGGCCAACGTCGGGATATTTAATTTGCACCTGGGGTTTTACGCAACGATCACGTGATATGACATGGGTGTTTAAACGTGAGCATTTATTCCAACTGAGGAGCAGTTCCGAAGGATAATGTTTTACGTAGGTATTATTAACTCATTTTATTATCCTGTCTGAATCTATAACTATGTATGACATGCAGGTCCTCTCTTCCCACAGGCAAAGAATACCTATACCAGTAAAATATCCCCTCCTATGCCTCCCATGCAGCTCTGTTTTACGTAGTAGATCCCTGTATTTTTTGTTACATGTTGCTGTCCTGACTTAGTTCAAGGCTATGTCGGAAGACCTTGTCCTCTCCACCCACATAGCAAAAGACCAACACCATATAAAGGATATTCCATCTTACGCCCTCAATACAGACCTATCAAACAGCTCCGCCCCTCAAAAGCCCTTATATCAAACACTTGGAGGAGCCCTTAGCCCATCATTATCTCCCTTCTCTAGTCAACGAAACAATGGTCATTTGAGGGTCTTTGGCAGCCGGGAAACCTCGCAAAAATCACTGGGTCCGGAGCTCTTCTAATACTGACAGCAGGTCTAAACTCGAAGATATAGTGATCCTTCTAAAGCATTCAGAGAGGCCATTCAAGAGGGCAAGACTGAACACCTGTACACGGTGTCCTCTGCGAACCTGGGAGTGAAATATTCTCCAAGAGCCAAGTTCAGTCAAATTTCGCAATATCAAAGAAGTTGGCCCACGAGGCAAAATTTAAAATTACTCCACCACGTCGTTTTTACGCTCCCAACGAGTTTGACGTCTACCTAAGCCTTATCAAGTCTACAAGTACGACCTAGTACATCCTCATCCCAATGACCACACCTCTCTTCGACCTTCTCTGGTCTCAGTTGACCACCAAATACACGCCCACGCCGATATTTATACCCGACGGAGGAAGCAAAGCGTGGCGCACAAATCTGGGAGATAGCTCTTTGGGATGGATGTGAGAGGGATCAGGACAAGTTTACAAGATGATGCAAAGGAAGGATATAACCTTGAAGGAAGTGAAATTCCGAATTTTGGCAAGGAGTTTTACGAATTGGGCTTTGTGCGCGCCAAGACTTCGCTTGCGAGAGTGCAGCTAACACTATAAACACAAGCCAACGATGGAAGGTGTTGTGGTCCGCCTCCTGGTGGTGTTCTCCGGTATAGTTTGAGTAGCCTGGGCACCTACTCCACTTGGGAAAGAGACACCTCAGATCACATATCGCGCGGAGAAAAGTTGAAAGATGATGGAGGCATGTCTGGATAACTCATGGTTTTTTAGACGTTCCCCTGGGTGGGTATTCACGGATGAGGGTTGACTTGGGGTGAAGGAAAAGCCACCATAACTTCGCAGTGGTACTTGCAAATGAAATCTGAGGCATGAGTGCTCTTCCTTTACGTTGAATCATCTATTCTGTACTTTTCTTTGATATTGTGTCATAGCTAGATAGCTGCATACGCAATTAAAATCTGACACAAAAAAAAAAAAAAAGAACCTAACATCTATTTAGACGTGACACGGGTAGATGGGCTCTTAGAGCTCATCATTACATACATGACCGGCAGTGAAGCCAGAAGGGACAAAAGAAGAAGAAAAGTAAAGTAAATATCTGAGTTACGGTGCCCTGCGCCGCATCCCTATCTTCCACACCCATCTCCTCTCGGGTCAGGAACAATCTCAGCGTGGCCACCTCCCACCCTGTTAATTCTTCGGCAGACTATAACATCTGCTTGTAGTTAAGAATTGAATGAACTTCTGCCATCCCTTCTCCCAAGCATTTCCCTAGCTCCAAGTGGGACTATTTTCTCATAGCTTCTCCAACGTTGCAAAGCAGGTCGGCACTCTGAAAAATGCCAGGGCCTTTTCTCTCGGCCGCAAACGCATTTCAGATCTTCATGTTCGAGGTTGAAACGTCGGTGGTAGTTGGCGTCGTCCCCGTGGCCTATTTTTGCCGCAATAAGACGATGGTACGCCCATCTTGGTAAAGCTAGTTCCGGTGGTCTTTGGCAACGCATGAATAAGTCCAGATCTTTGTATCGTTCTGGTCGATACTTCTGCCACCACCCTTCCTCAAGCTCTTGGCTGCGCAGTTTAACCCACCTTCCTATTGCTGCAAAGGCTAGATTTTGATCTTTTCCACTGGGCGTTGTTGAAATTGGTGCTTCCAATTATGGTAAAGACAGGGATGTGTAAAATACACTTCACTAATTTCCCATTAATTGTGAGGTTAGTGTTATTGCGCTTTGACATTAACAAAAAACATCATTTTTGCTAGAAAGCTGCGGAGCCTTCCACGCTGCCCGTATCTTCAATTTGTTATCGTAATCATCATTATTTCATCATCATTACCCTCCCTTCATCTATTCGCTTTCCGTGCTCCAACATGTCGAGTGTGGGTGCTGGTGTGGGTAAATCCAGCGGTTTCGACGCGTCGGAAAATGCCACAATGGCCTCAACAAACAACGGCAGCCGAGCGCAGACAGCTCCAAAGGATAGAAACCTCGAAATCGTGGGAAATTGCTAAGACAGGTTAGACTAGTTGTCATGGGAGAAATGGATGAGGAGGACCTACCCTCAATGCAGGACGTGAACGAGGCCGTGAAGGCCTTCAACGCGCACAAAAGGGCCTGGACGGAAATGTCCCAGAAGATGTCCCCTATCGAGGAGAGGATGATGGCTTTAGAGGAAGTCGTAAAGAAAAGCCTCGCGGATCCCGCTCAGAAAGCTGCTCCAGCAGTGGTTTCGGGCGCGACGACACCAAGGAGCTACGCTTCGGTCGTGGCTCCCCAAATGACAAAAATAGCGGTACGAACAAGAATCGACGGCGCTCAAAACCTACAGCTATAAGAGCTGCTTTCAGAGGCAAAAGAGCTCATACAAGGTGCATACGCAATTCGTCAAATGCGGAGCAACGATACCGAGGTATTCGTCCAGTCGGCGTCCCAGAGAGACGCGGCGCTAAATATGCGACAATCAACAGAACTCAAAATTCTGCAGCAAGATTTTCCAGCCAAGGTCAACGGTGTCACATTGCGGACACGAATTGAAGGGGTAGAAATGCCAACAATTTTGCCATCACCAGGGAGATAGAGACGGCTACGAAGGCACGGATTCCAGGCTTAGTCATTAGTCGAATAAGGTGGTTACATGATGGAAAGGAGCACCAGCGATCGAAGAAAAACGGTCGCACTCGTGGATCAATTGTGGTAAGCCTCCCATAGGAGGCAATGCAGACGGAAGTGGTCCGAAACGGCCTTGTTATGAACGTCATGCTCTACACCGCGCAGGTGTGGTCACCACGGTCCCAGCCAAAGCAGTGTTATAACTGCAGTCAGTGGGGACACACGCAGGCGTTGTGTGGAAAGGTAGCTGGGTGCGGTTAGTGCGCTGGCGCTCACTAAACTCCGGACTATCCGAGGAAAAGGGTTTCTTGTGCGAACTGCGGCAAGGAGCACCATTCATGGTAGAAAGCAGCGTGTCGGACCTAACAGGTCTACAAGGGAAGTGTGGAGAAGGCTCGGATGGAGCTGTTGTCAAGAACGGCGGAAATATGAAACGAAAAACCTACGGTGGCACCAACACAAACAGTCAGACCAACTGATGATCAGGGATTTACTTTGGTCACCAGTAAAAAGGCTGAAGGGCTCAAAAGAGGACCAGGACGACCACGCAAAGTAGTCGAAGCCCCAGCGGCACCAACCATCGCCTCGATAGCAGTAGCACCATCGGGGCCAACTCTTTGAACACTTCGAAGACCAACGCCGAGTGAGGAGATGCCTTCTCTTTTCAATTTCTCATAACGTTAGTCTGATCGAAGGGGGAGTTAACGAATTCTGGGGAAAGTTTATAAAATTATGATTGAAAGGAACGTCCTCGGCATTAAGCCGGGTCGGTTCAGAGTGGCAGGACTTCGGGTTTTGTTTGTTGAAAGCTTTTTCCTTTCTTAACATGGCTTACCGTCTTCATGGATTTGTATATAGAAGCCAAATAAGACGTTAAACTAGAGAAATGAATCAATGCGCATTGACGTAAATACCAACCACTAGATTTTATTATTACAGAATATAGTTTATAGAGCACTCTGTGTCCTAGTGGGAGTAATTAGCAACTCCCCACAATAGATTTACAGACTCCTTTATTTTCTTTCTCGCTTCACCAAGTGATATAATCTGTGCCTAATAGACACAAGCTTTTGAAAATCAATCCGCTCAACATTAACTACCGACACTCGCCCTACCACTCTGCTGCCTTTCAATCAATTTCGCCGTGCCCGAAACAATACTCTCTGAGCCCATCCGAGTGCTGTTAACTTTCTCAATAGACGTCAGTATCAGTTTCTAACACTTTGCCTATTGTTCAAACTCTCTCGGATTGGGATTGGTGAGCTGGAAACTGAAAACTATTCATTATGCATGATTGCAAGTTGTCGAGGTGCCCTGTTAGGCCAGTGAAACTATTAATTTGCTACACTTGGATCAGTGATTATAGTTGATGATAGAGCTAGAATTCCGTTTTCTTTATCGTGCGAAGTTAGTGATCACAATGGCTAATAGTAGTTGGAATGAATACAAGATTGAAGATTAACAGGGGATCAATTAACTCCACCTAATCTTATTCGTGGGATTCTGTGACAATCAACTCTACCCTCTTCTGCCAACACGTATCCATTATTACTCCCAAAGCACTTTCGAGTCAGAATCTTCGCCGAGATGACCATGAAGTGGAAAATATAAATAATATGAATGCATCAGTTCTCACTCCACACTTAGCATCAGCTTTCCTGTATAAATAATGGCGACGACCGCGCTCCATTTGGCTCGATAAATCAAGCCGGCGTACACTCAAGTGACCAGAGAAATATACAACACCTAGCAAATAGAAAATGGTTTCCCTTTGTTGTAAAAATCTGAGTTCATAACTGCACACACCTTCAGGAGATAACTGTGCACCAGCAAAGTTAACCCCTTAGAGTCTGATCACTATTGCCTCCTGGTCGCTACACACTAACATCAACGTGTTCACTACAATGAGGACACCATTGTAGTCACTCTAGCTATCATAGACAATAACATGTAGAGGAATAAGGGTAGGAACTCCTGTATATAGATAGGGCCTTTTTACTCTCAGTATCTACATGCATCATCCACAAAAACAATTCACCATCAATCATCTTACTCTGTCCAAGTGATCTAATGAATTCTCCCATACCTATAAGTATTCTAATCACAAGGTGACGTCTCCCTATCCATCGCCCTCAGCCTTTCAATACCCTCCACATTTTTATTCATTAAAACTCAAACTTGCCGACATGACACCATTGAAATACCTCACTTTAATCGCTTTCACCATTGTGCATGAAGTAAATGGTGCGTGGACCATAGAAAAAGTATTAAATTGTGGTGGCGCTAAATATTCTGGCCAGAACCTCGTGCAATTTCGCAATACGCATTGCTCTAATCAAAGGCATGGTGTTTATGCTCTAAATCAGTATAGTCACCCAAGAGAGTCTTTCGAAGATGAAACTGGGATCAGTTTCTATTTCTTAAGACTCCCTATAATATCACAGAGTGGTACAATGCTTTATAGTCAGTTACTCAGCCTTTGATAGCTCTATATTTCTATGATTCTAAAACAAAACTGGCAAAAGATACCCCATCTAATCACTACCTTGTCATGGTTCATATCATGTCATGTAGAGACATGATTCATTCATGAGTTGATATTGTTCAGACGATCATGACTATATCACAACGTCATGTACAGACACGATTCATCGTTTGTACCTGTTGTATCAACCATGACTATGTTTCAGTGATATGAGAAACATCATTGACTAGTTACTAGAAACCTAATCAAGATCCTAAACACACAACTGAGACTAGGAGAATTTTACTGAGTAAGTAATTATTCTGATGAATCTAGATCTAGAGGAACATAATCTGGTTGCTTGGCTCGAGGTATATGAACCTGAGCATATCATGTATTATAAACTATATAGAAATCTATCTCAATCACAATCATCATCTTAATTCATGTCACTATCAATAGCTGCAAAGGACAGCTTAACCATTTCCTTATATATCATGACTCTCCATAAAAGGGTGAAAGCATGTCTAAGCAGCAGTGGGAGGACTAGTTGTCATAGTGACACAATTTTACAGGAATAGAGAGGACTGGTGTTATTATTGACACTAGCGTCGAGCTAGTTCGAGGATTTTTTATATTTTTTTTTATTATATTAAAGTCCTAAGCTAAAGCTCTAGGTCCACTATAGGTACAAGACTGGTGGAGCCGGCGGGGATCACTGCTTACAGGCCCAACTCATTCCAGCCTCGAGACCCGCTACAGAAAAAGTAGAAGGTAAATTACAACTCAGAAGACACCACCTACTCCGACTCCGAAATTGAGACTCCATCCTTCAACCCTAAATTCAAGTACATAAATGATTTCCTCAGAGAAACGACACTTCTCGTATCGATCCCTTTCGTGTCATGCGTTGTGGCAAAGACTAGTTTATCTAATCCCCGCTGAGAGCAGTGGATGAGTGGGCGGGATGGCTATCAAAACAGCCGGTTTCCTCCGCAAATATATTGAAGCTATCGTGGCACTTGGGCCCGAGAAGCTTTTTGATAAAGTCAGCGTGGGACATTGAATTTCCGAGCCTACGCGTTTGTTGTGCGTGACGGCTACAGTGGATGAAGTGGGTTGGAGTAGTTTCCTTCCCGAAAGAACATTTTATAGGAGCGTGTGGATTATTAAAACGGCGATGGTATGCCGCAAAATTGCCGTGACCCGTTCGTGCTGCAATTAGTGCCCGGAGGAGGTGCCTAGAGAGAGACAGTTCAGGTGGTTTGCGTCTCCGCACCTGCAGGTTGAGTTGGCGGTATTTAGGCGGACATATTGAAATGTATAACCCACTACTTAGTTCGTGGACTTTATTGGTAAAGGGAAGCTTATGCAATAATGAAGGATAAAAGGATGTCAATTAGACTACTCTATCAAACACAGGTACCAGACTCCTTTTAACCCCAATAGATAGCCCGTGCGGGATCTCCTATTAACAGCAGTAAACAACGCTAGCACAGGGTATACGCAATCTCCGTTCGCCAAGCACCAGTCGGTCGGGACTACTAATTATCGAGCCCAGTAGGATCGACATAGTGTATCCCAACACAGAAATCATAGAAAACTCAACAACCAAACCCTTCATCAATTACTTCCATTAAGCATCACCTGACTCATCTCTGAACTCCATAATTTCAACAGGACAGGCCTCTTCCCACCAACTGTCCAGCAATCTCTGCCGTCTGCGATTCATGAGCCCTCGAAGATTTGCCGGAGTACTGGATCCTGGTTGCGTATCCGGGCTAGGCAATTCTCGAAGTGCTGCACTGGCCATGGCGTCTACCTCTTCATTTCCTTAGATTCCTGCATGCCCTGGAACCCACTTCACTGAAATTTCAGCCCTATTAGATAACGCACGGAATTTGCGTACATCTTCAAGGCTGGTTGAGGACGAGCCTGTCGTTAGTGCGCTTACAGCCTGCTGGCTGTCTAGAAACACGTGGATTTGCTGCGACCCTCCTACTTTCCTGCACTTTTCGTTCTCCAAGAACTCCAGTGCGGCCTCCAGAGCCTTCCTTGCTCCTACTATCTCTGCATCCAGCACCTCCCCCCCGTGCTTGATGCCACTTCCTTTGCTGATAAGTTTCTCATCCTTTTTCAGAATGAAACCCCAGGCGGAGCGTCCATGTCCTTCTGATGACCCATCCGAGTATGCACAAATGTCCATTCCTGGCACGTCGCTAATCCTTCTAACGCAACCTTCGCGTTCCATCGACTTTGAGCCCGATTTCCTAGAGTAAACCACCGGCGTCAGACTTTCAGGAGCTTCTGCTTCCGGAAGCACTCGGTAAGCACGCTGTAATCATGACATCTGAATTTCTGGTCTGGCTGAGGACTTGGCAGACTTTTTGTATTTCCGGGTGCCGACATTCGGGCACACGGAAGCGCGGATCCTCAAAGGGTGTCGATCGTCAAGGGTCTTAAGCCTTGCCGAAAGCCGGAGACGGTTTCCCTCAAGTATGACCTTTGCCGGCGGGATTCCCCCTTCTCTATGAAGGACTATATTTGGTGTTGTCCTCATTATTGGAAGTGCAGACCGCAATCCCATCAGGTTAGCTCGGTCAATCATGCTGCAGAGGTTGGAGGTAGATGACGTGACTATTCCTCGTATGGTTGGGCGTTTGGACCCTGGCCACCAGACATCAGATCCAAAATTTGCGAGCGAGACAACGCACATGTCTACTGCCTTAGCCAATAGCCCAGGAGCTACTCCCCGAAAAGCAGAGTTGAAACAGCGCATGTGCTGGGCAACTTTTACCGCTTTACCGCACCACGTAGTTACATGGTGTTTGAAATTGAGTCGTGGATCTAGATTCACGCCTAGCCAGCGAATATTTTCCGCAGACTCAATAAGGGTTCCGTTAACATGAACACCAATTGCTTCCTCTCGGCGTCGTCCCAGAAATTGAATAACTTCCGATTTTTCCGTGTCAAAGTCGACGGCATTTGTCCCTGCTCGCTCGAGAAGATGGTCTACCTCCGTTTGTCCAGCGCTGGCAGATTCAGCAACTGTGCGTCCAAACCCTAGAATTCCAATATCATCGGCGTAGCTAAACCTCGATCCTGGGTTGCCGCTTTTCATTGGCTCCGCCATGTACAGAAGGAATAGTAAAGGCGAAATTGGGGAACCCTGCGGGACTCCACAGACCAGCTCTCTCTGGATGGTGACTCCGCCGGAAAAACGCACTTGAACTTTCCGGTGTGTGAGGAATGAAGTCGTCCGCCGGAGGATTGAGTCTGGCCATCCCTGGGCTTGCATGCGCCTAACCAAGCGATTGTGGAGCACTGCATCGAACGCTCCTTGGACGTCTAAAGTTACAAATGTCCAGGCCCATCCCTGGGAGCGTGCTTCTTCGACGTCGTGGACTACGCAGGAGACTAGGTGCGTTGCAGATCGCTTTGGGACCGCACCAAATTGTTGATGGCCAACCACATCATGAGTGATTGCGAGGTGCGCCATTCGCTTGGCAAGAAGTCTTTCTAATCCTTTGCCTAGGCACGAGAGTAGAGCGATTGGTCTCCAACCTTTGATTGAAGTTGGAACCCGATTTGGCTTTTCCAATAGCACCACTTCCGCAAGTTTGAAGCAAGATGGGTGAGTGCCGAGCCGTATGCAAGCTCCAAAGAGCTGCGTAACACACAGTCCGATCGTCTTCCAGCAGGCCTCAAGAAGCTCGACTGTGACTCCGTCTGCTCCTGGGGCCGCCTCGGTGCAGCCGATGGTGCAAGTTCGCACTTCATTGTCTGTTATTTCGTCTTCCCAGGGTATCCGGTTATTGCTGGGAGCAGTGCACGTAGGAAGATCGTCCGATGCTTGGTGACGTGCAAGGAGAGCATCACGGAGAACTATGGCTCGCTCAGATGGATCGGTGATATAGGATCCGTTATGGTTGAGCGGCAGAGGAGGTCTGACCTGTCTGTGTTTGGCCGAGCGCATCAGCTTGAATATTTCTGCCGGAGTTGTCATCGCTTCGACTTGAAATGTCTGATGTTCCTTCTTAGCGGCTGTGATAGTCGCACGAAGCTTCTTCGCACAGATATCCCGCTGTGAGAGTGATGTCGCAGCTCGGTATTCGACGTGTGCGGATTTGCACCCAGGAGTCCACCACGGTGCAGATTTTCCGCTCCCCTTTCTGACCCTTGTTCCAGTCGCTTTGATGGCTTCCGAGAGATGGAAGCAGATCTCTTGGGCGTACTCATCCACTTTCTCTGTTGTACTCAGATCTAAAGCTGGATGTACCCATTTTGCAATGGCCCGCGCAAACTTTGGTAGATTTTCCTTCGGTACTCTGATCTTTGCTGGCACTAGGTCCCTGGTGGCGGTTGCCGCAGGTACGATTCCTCGGATTGGAAGATGATCGCTGGTCATACACTCCTCACGATCGACCCAGGCCCGGGCTCCAGAAATATTGGTCCAAGCGAGGTCCAAGGTATTGCCGGCTTTGTGAGTGGGCTCTCCAATGATAAGGCAAGAGAGATGGAAGTTTTCCGCCCACTTTTCTATCTCATCACCTTGTCCATGCGGCTTAGTAGCGCCTGGTTGCCAGGCAGCGTGCACCGAGTTGAAGTCCCCAGCTGCAATCACCCTCGGGGTCGGATTCCAGTTTATCAGTGGCAGGATAGCAGTCGGGTTGTTAGGAGCTTTATACACGTTGAGGAACGTGATTTCATTGACCTTTACCCAGCAGTAATCACCAGTGGGTGTGGGACAAGGAAATAACTGCTCCGCTGATATCACATTTTTGTTCTTTCGGGTGTATGTCACAGCCCTCGGTCTGACATCTACACCTCCGTACGGTGTATGACAGAGGTAACCTGGGTGTGACTTGGTTTTGTTCGTTTGTTTGATCCAACAAGGTTCTTGAATCAACACAACATCCACGCCTAGCTCGTAAGCTCTGGAGAGCGCAATGTTGTGGGTTGGGCCACCCCTGCCTACGTTTATTGACATAAAACTTAGTGTAGGAGGGGGGCCGGAAG